ACACCGGGGGAGGGACAGACGGCGAGGACTGCGCCGGAGGACTACCAGAGTCAGAAGACTCGTCGACCGGGACGACCGACGGGAGGGGGGTGACGTGAGACACACCAGAGGGGGCCGGACGGGGGGGCGGGGGGGGGGGAGGGGCAGGGACCACCAGGGAGGGAGGAACCAGGAAAAGGGGGGGAGTAACCGGGGGACCACGGTGGGGAAAGCGGCGGTAGAAGGAGACGGACTCGTCAAAGGTGACGTCGCGAGAGTGAAAGAAGCGGTGAGACGGCGGGTGGTAGAAGTGCCAGTCGGACGCGTCAAGGGGGAAACCGAGGAAGACGCAGGGGAGGGTGCGGGCAGTGAGCTTGTCCGTGCCAGAGGCACGAACGTGAGCAAGGCAGCCCCAGACGCGGAACGCAGACGCGTCACCAGGGGACCCGGTCCACAGAAGGGTCGGCGAAACCTGCGGCCGCTGGGGGTGCGGCCACAGGTTAAGCTGGTGAGCGGCGTAGCGCACGGCGAACGGCCACAGAAAATGGGGTGCACCGGCGTGCATCATGGAGGTGCGAGCCACCTCCATGACCAAACCGATGCGTCGCTCAGCGACCCCATTCTGCTGCGGGGAGTCCGGCAGGGTAAACGTCTGGGTGATGCCCTCCGCACGACAGAAGCGACCAAGGACACCTGAGGCAAACTCGCCACCCCGGTCGGAGTGAAGGCGCAAGGCAGGGAGACCGCGGTGGACACGAGCAGAGACAAGCCAGGGGATGAGAACGTCAGGCACGTCGGCCTTCCGCTCCAGGGGGAAGACGGTGGTGTAGCGCGTGAAGTCGTCGACAAGCACTAGGAAGAAGCGCTCGCGACGCGGCCCATGGACCGGGGCTGGGCCCCAGACGTCCATGTGCAGAGTCTGCAGTGGTGCGGTGGTAGGGGGAAAAGAGGAGGAGTGAGGGGCACGGCGGAGCCGGCCCTCGACACAAGGCGTGCACGGTGGGGCGGGGGAGGAGGGAAACTCGGGGAACGAACCGGGGAGACCAAGGACGAGACCGTGCTGGGACATGTGACGCAGACGTGGGAGTGCAGGGTGACCAAGGCGGTGGTGCCAAAGGAGAGTCGGGTGAGTGAGGGACCGACAGGAGCACGCGGCTGCAACCTGGGTGGACGCAACTACCGGGGGGGAAGACCCAGCCGGGGACGGCGCGGTGTCAAGTGTGAACAGGCCGGACACCGGGTCCCGGGGGAAAGTGGTAAGGGGGGCACCAGTGGCGGCCTCGGTACAGACAGCATACCGCTCGTGACCAGGGAACGTAGTGGTGACGCCAAGGTCCTGGAGGCAGCCGACACGAACTAGGTTCCTGGAGAACGAGGGGATATGCAGACCTGTGAGAGTGCCCGAAGGAACCGCCGGACAGGGAAGGGAGGTGGAACTGCGGGCAACGACGGGACCACCGGAGGGGTCAGCAAGAGTAACTGCAGCGGGAACAGGCAGCGGCGTCAGCGTCGTGGAGTCGCGGAAGAAACACCGGGAGGCGCCAGAGTCCAAGGTGAAGGAAAGCGCAGCAGTCGCGCGAGGCAGCAGTGAAGCGGTGGAAGCACCAAGGCTAAGCAAAGCAGGAGATCCTACGCCTGACGCAGCAGGGGAGTCTACGCTAGGCACCGCTACACTAGGCAACACGGGGTAATAAGAGGGAAGCACACTAGAGTCATCAGCATACATCACATGCAAGGCCGCTACAATGGCATCCATGTCCAAGTCAAAAATCCTAATGCTACGCCTAAGCAAGCTGTGCCAGTCCGGGAGGTCGGGCGCCGGGCCAAAGCGCTGGCGGAACAGGTCGTCCAGGCGACGAAAACAGCGAGGAGTAGAATGACCGATCTTACCGCAAACGAAGCCGCGGCGAGGACCGGTCTGGATCTGGTACTGACAGGGCGCGCCTCCAGAACCACCACCCGATGCACCACCACGCGCACGACCACCACCAGCTCCAGGCCACCCAGGTGGGAGAGTACTCGCCGGCCTCATCTGCGGCGGCTGCTGCGGCTGCTGCAAAGGCTGCGGCTGCGGCGACTGCTGCTGCTGCGGCTGCTGCAACTGTGGAGGCAGCGGGGCAGCTGGACCGGGCAGGGTCCCCACGTCCGCACTGGCACCGGACGACCCGCCTCCACCACTACCCCCACCCGCACCCCCGCCGCCTCCGCCGCTCCCAACCTTGGGGCGGCGGCCCTTCGCCGAGCGGGACTGCACTGCAGCAGCAGTCTCAGCCACAGCGACAGAGCCGTCGGAGAAGGTACACTGAGCGGGGGCACAACCCTGAAAGATAGGGACCGGTACTGTACCGCTCGCCAGGGCTATGGAGCGGTGACGAGTCTCTATGGCAGTCAGGGTGTCAACAAAGTCGGTGAGGGTGAGAGCAGCAGGGTGGATGCTAAGGAACTGGTCGCGGGCGGCGGCAAGGCGGTCAGGTAGGCGGGTGGCAAGGAGGTAGAGGGTAGAGGTCATGGGAGGCTGGTGGACTCTAAGCTGAGCATCAGTGCAGGCAGCGCGCCAGGCCTCATCTATCGAGCGCAGGTGGGCAGCGAGGTCAGAGACAGTGGGGAAAGACGCCAGGTCAGGAAAGAGCAGGGGAAGGATCAGGCGACCCACTGAGGCAGCAGGAGGGGTAGAATAGCGCTTGATGACAGCATCGAGGTAGGCCTGGGCGGTAGGAATGGTTCTAAAGCGAGGGCGCTCAGTGGGGGGGAGGGCATTGCTAATGGCGAGCTGAGCAAGGGCATCGCGGGAAAGCCAGACAGAGCGGGCAAGGGCAGCAGCGGCAGTGGACTCGCGCTCAGCGGGCGTGGGATCAGCGGGCAGCACAGCAGGGGGGTCAGGGTAGGGGAGCATACCGTCTAGGTGTGCAGAAAGCGGGTGGCCGTCCTGCCGCTGGCCAGTGAGGTGGCGGCGAAGGTCAGCCAACCACGCCTCGAACTCCAGAGGCTGACCCTCAACATCAAAACGAAGCTCAGCAGCCATGAGGGGCAGTGGAGGACAGTGCAGTGCGGTGCAGTGCGATGCAGTGCGGTGCAGTGCGGTCCAGTGCGGTGCAGTGCGATGCAGTGCGGTGCAGTGCGGTCCAGTGCGGTGCAGTGCGGTCAGTGCGATGCAAGGCGGGGCAGGAAAGTGCAGGAGGGTGCAAAGTGGTGCGGGGAACGGGGGACAGTACCAGGAAGTATGGAGGGCCGGGGCAGGTGCGTCGGGGCCGGGCAGGCACGACAAGGCCGGGCGGCGGCGACGGGGCCGGGCGGCTGCGACGGGGCCGGGCGGCGGCGACGGGGCCGGGCGGCAGCGACAAGGCCGGGCGGCTGCAACGTGGCCGGGCGGCTGCGACGGGGCCGGGCGGCTGCGACGGGGCCGGGCGGCAGGGACGAGGCCGGGCCGGACACAGCAGGGCCGGGCAGGGGCGACGGGGCCGGGCGGCTGCGACGTGGCCGGGCGGCTGCGACGGGGCCGGGCGGCTGCGACGGGGCCGGGCGGCGGCGACGGGGCCGGGCGGCAGGGACGGGGCCCGGGCAGGCCACAGCAGGGCCGGGCAGGGGCGACGGGGCCGGGCGGGCGAGCAGGGGCCGGGCAGGTGCGACAGGGGCCGGGCAGCCGCGACAGGGGCCGGGCGGGCGCCACGCGGCCGATAGGCCGCGACGGGGCCGAGCAGGGGCGACGGGGCCGAGCAGGGGCGACGGGGATGGGTAGGGGCGCGACGGGGCCTGGAGGGGCGTTACCAAGCCCAGGTAGGGGCGCGACGGGGCCTGGGGGGAGCGCAATGGGGCCCAGGAGGGGCGCTACGGGGCCTGGGAGGAGCGCGACTGGGCTAGGGAGAGGCGCGACGGGGCCTGGGAGGAGCGCAATGGGGCCCAGGAGGGGCGCTACGGGGCCTGGGAGGAGCGCGACGGGGCCCTGGAGGAGCGCTACCAGGCCCCGGAAGGGGCGCGACGGGGCCTGGAGGGGCGCTACGAAGCCCTGAAAGGGGCGCGACGGGGCCTGGAGGGGCGCTACGAAGCCCTGGAAGGGGCGCGACGGGGCCTGGGAGGAGCGCAATGGGGCCCAGGAGGGGCGCTACGAGGCCTGGGAGGAGCGCGACGGGGCCCAGAAAGGGGCGCAACAGGGCCCAGGAAGGGGCGCGACGGGGCTAGGGAGGGTCGCGACGGGGCTAGGGAGGGTCGCGACGGGGCTAGGAGCACGACGGGGCCCAGCTAGGGGGCGAGCGGAAGCGTGAGGGGGGGGGGGGGGGGGGATCCTACCTACGCGTGATACCATAACAAACAGTGAAATTTATGAATAGAGAGAGAGAGTACACAAACATATACCTAACTGTTGTACTCTCTAGAAGATGACCCTGTACAGTCTATACAAGCATTATAACTAAACATGTTTGACAGTGCAGACCAGAGTTGCCGTGTTGAGTTTCTTGGCCGCTGGGTGAGCCCGTAGAGACTTTCTTGCCCTTGCTGTCCATGTCTTGTGATTAATGAAGTCGTTGAATTGAGTTGAGTTGCAGGTTGTTGATGGAGCGTAGTTGCTGGGAGTTTGGTCTCTGACCAGCTCTCATACCATATTGGGCTGAGAAAAGCCCTTAGGATCTTTTGCAGAGACTAAGTCCCAGCTGCAGAGACTTTGAGACTTTGAGTAGTGCAGCGGAAGTTGAGGCAGTTGAACCCTTGTGCTAGTATGTGAGAACAAGTGATTGATTAAAGAAACAAGCATACAGCAATATATAGAAGATAAGAAAGCAGTTGTAGAGTACAGTTACAGGAACGGTTTATCGAGTCGCACAGCGACTCGATTGCCGCTTCGGTTACCATCCGTGATGTTGTAACGGTCAGTCGCAACCTCCAGTTGCGACCTTTCGAGTCTTTTCGCATTCTTTGTCCGTCCCCTCATGTAACCTCCGTTGACTCGCGTGCTCCCCTGTAGTCTTCCTCGAGTGCAGTGTTACACTTCAGAAACGCTTAAGTCCTTTGAGATATTTCCAACAGACTCAAAAATCGATTCATTACACACCTGACCGAAACCCCTCACTCCAACAATATCAGTCTGTCAGGCAGCACGTTTGGCAATTGTGGTTTCAAAACTAGCCGTCCACTGTGTTTAAGCCGCAACAAGATGTGCAAGCTGTGACTGGGAGGGGGCTAGAATATGGTTCCAGCATATGTGGTAGGAGGGACAACAGGGACGGGAGTGTAGGCGCGTACAAAACAAGTCATACAGGAACAACCGGGACGGGCTGGGGGGTACCGGCGGCCACGGGCGAATTCGCTGACTGCACTGCAGCGTGCATTATAGCGAGGTCGCCCAGCGCTGCTAAGGGGGACAAGCGGGGGTCTAGAGAAACCGGAGGACTCGCGATGCCTTGGCTTGTATGGTCCTCCTGGTTTCCTGCTTCACCCTGGGTGTGCGTTCCTTGGTCTCTACGGGCAGCCACAGCGGCGGCAAAGAGAGAGAGCTCCTGCTGGATGCCGAGGAGCGAGTGGAAGGAGGGTGAGGGGCAGGATGGGGGGAGTGATGCGCCGGGTGGTAGATCAAGTGACACCTGGTGGAGTGTGAAGAAGGGAAGGGGGGGGAGAGGGAGAAGTGGAAAGGAAGGGTGTGAGCCAAGAGAAATGGGAGGATATGGTGGGTTGCAATTGAGGTACGCTTGGCATGGAGAGAGTGGGACAGGAGAATGGGAGGAGACAATCGAACGACGAAGATGAGCGCACATGCCAGAGTGCACTTCATTCGAGTTCAATGACAGCGTTGCATTTCTGGACATTTCTCACCATGTACCCAAACCAGCGTTTGCTACAAGACCCGCTGCCACGTATGGCTTAACCCACTAAGTGGTGCTCTCTGGACATTTCTCACCGTGTACCCGAACCGGCCGTCGCCACTGGAGTGAGGGCCTCGTCTGACTTCCACTGTGCCGCCCACACACACCACACGCCACACCATCTGATGCACACATTGCGCGCATCGCAGGTATTGCAGTGAGGGCGAGGAGAAGGACATAGGAAGCGACAGCAGGGAGAGAAGAGAAGAAAAGGAAGGTGAGGCAGGGTAGAGGAGGAAGGAGCACGGAGGCCCTTCCTCATTGGCTGGTCCGCACAGAGATGGTTTTTGAGAAATCTAAATAACCGGATAGAGGGAGATTTTGAGTCGACTCAAAAGCAGTCCGCACAGAAAATGCTTTTTGGAAAATCTAAATAACTGGACAGAGGGAGCCTGAGAAGTGAAGTGAGTAGACCATGCGTGCATGTTGTGAGCACAAAAGGTACAGGGATCTACGTTGTGAGAACGAAGGGTGGGAGACGGACATGAGATTGCATGGGCTTTGACGGTTGGGTGGCTTACGTGGTTGCGAGGAGTGTAGGAGAAGGAGATGGAGAGAGTGCCCACGGAACCATCCTCGAACTTGCTGCTCCGTGCCATGCCATGATTTGCCATGAGATACAGAGCCACACCATGCCATGCCATACCATGCCATGAAATATCGCACACCATAGCATAGCAGCTCAGTTGAGGACTCTTTGGTTTTTGGCTCAAACAACATTGACTGCTCATAAATGAACAGCACAGACAGCAGAGGCAGCTGAGACAGCAAGAGCAGCAAGAGCAGTAAGAGCAGCAAGAGCAGCAAGAGCAGTAAGAGCAGTAAGAGCAGCAAGGGCAGCAAGAGCAGTAAGAGCAGCAAGAGCAGCAAGAGCAGCAAGAGCAGTAAGAGCAGCAAGAGCAGCAAGAGCAGCAAGAGCAGTAAGAGCAGCAAGAGCAGCAAGAGCAGCAAGAGCAGTAAGAGCAGCAAGAGCAGCAAGAGCAGTAAGAGCAGCAAGAGCAGCAAGAGCAGTAAGAGCGCAGCAAGAGCAGTAAGAGACGCAAGGCAAGAGCAGCAGGGGCAGCAAGAGCGCTCACAGCGTGGCAGCAAAGTTATCTGGGGGAGGCACATCTGCGATCTGGTGCGAGGCGAATGCAGCCACTGACCATACCCTTCGACCAGTCATCTGGAGATGGGGGGGAGATGACGACATGGGGACAGGAGAGAAGGAGAGAGCGAGAGGAGAGGGGGAGGGGAGGAGGGAGAGAGCGAGGGAGGAGTGGGGAAGGGGGGGGGTGGCTGTCTGCCATCTGATGTGTGCCGAATGCCGCCACTGAGGTAACCCTGCAACCAGTTATATGGAGGGAGGGAGGTTGGGTGCTCACGTAAGGAAGAGTAATCAAGATCACTGCAAAAGTGCAAGCTTTGTGACTAACTCGATTTCTTTGTAAAGGATGGATCAAGGTTAGAAAAACCTGACAGGGTGGGTACAACTTACATGACACATTGCTGCCACGTAGTGCACGCCACAGTCGGTAATGAACGCGCCCTGATGTCGGCCTCACCACACATGCACGCATGCACACACATGACAGCACAACAAAATAACAGAAAACAAAGCACGTGATATTTATAATCACACAACAAACGTGATGAATCCACTTGTCATCTTCCACTCAACTCCATTTCCTAGACAAGTAAACAAAAACCCCACTCTCACCTCTCACTGCAAAACCCAGACACTCCTACCCTCCCTGAAATCAGCCTCTGTCCTCCTTACCGTGAAGTCGGGGTCGCGGCGCCACTGGCTGGGGAAGTACTTGTTAGCGGGGGTGAGAGACGTCTCTGCCACCACTTGCACTGCCAGCATGGTACCCAGATGCGAGATTATCTCCCGTGCCTGTGGGGGTGGGAGTAAAGGGGAGGCAGAGTGTTCCTTGCACTCCTTGCACTGCTTATCGCACCACCTCCAATGCCAGCATATGACACTACCTCCCATGCCTCGAAAGCTTTTTGAGGCGCCTCAGAAAAAAATGCAAGAGCCAGGCGAGGCAGGCAGCGGATATGTCTGAAGACTGGCAAAGCCAGGTGTGTTTTGAGACGACTCAAAATACAGGTGGTATGCACATGCACTATGTACCAACCACCTATGAGCCAGGCCTGTAGGTGCCTTTCTAGTCCACTTAACGATCACATACCAACGATCCCCTACGAGGTCACCTCACGCGCGTTTCTGGTCGAATGAACGACCACTTACGCATGAGGCATGGCTATGATCACCTTTTGAGTCGACTCAAAAATCATGGCTATGATCACCTATGAGCAGGCAGTGCTTTTCTAGTCGACTAGCGATCACCTGCGAGGCATGGCTGGCACACGAGAACATGCTAACGGGGTGATGAAACGGGAGCCTTTTGAAGTGGGACGACTCGAGCCTAGGCCAGAGACCTAGTCAAAAGCAGGCAGAGACCTGGTCAAAAGCGGGCAGCGACCTCGTCAAAAGCGGGCAGAGACCTGGTCAAAAGCAGGCAGAGACCTGGTCAAAAGCGGGCTCGAGGCGGAAATTCTCCCCGACAGCCCAGAGAGGGCCTTGGGGCGAAGAGGGGCGTGCAGAGGAGGCAGCGGAGAGAGGGGCTGAGAGGAGCGATGCCTCAGCATGTAAGGCGAGAGCCTGGGGGTAGTCTGTGGTGGTTAGGGGATCAGGTGGGTGGGAAGGGGGTGAGCATGGGAGGTGGGTGTGGGGGTGGCGAGGGTGGGGGTGGGGGGGGGAGTGTGGGGGGGAGTGGGGTAGGAAGCAGAGAGAGGGAGGGAAGGAGGGGCGGGGTAGAGGGAGGGGCACCAAGGAAGGGTAAAGAGGGGACTGGAGGGGAGCGAACCTCAGGTTCCAATGGGAATAGACAATGGGCATAGGGATTGACAAGGCATGTTATGGCTATGGCGTAAGGCATGTTATGGCTATGACGTAAGGCATGTGAAGCCACAGAAAGGCATGCGACAAGAAACGAGGAATGAACCAGCACGCCCATTGCCCTGAGTTGGTCCACTGAGTCGACTCAGAAGTTAGCGAGCACGCCCACTGCCCCTCCCCTCAGATCTGCCCTGCAGATATCCCATGGACCAGCCTCTCAATGTCCCAACCCTCCCAACACATTGGGGAGAATGGGCTGGAGACACAGAGAGGCATAGTGCGTGTGCGTGTGTGTGCGCGTGTGTGCGTGTGTGTGTGCGTGTGTGTGTGCATGTGTGTGTGCGTGTGTGCGTGCGTGTGTGTGTGCGTGTGCGTGTGTGTGCGTGTGTGCGTGTGTGTGTGCGTGTGTGTGTCCGCGTGTGTGCATGTGTGTGTGCGTGTGTGTGCGTGTGTGTGCGTGTGTGTGTGCGTGTGTGTGCGTGTGTGTGTCTGTTGGTGTGTTCCAACTTGTGTGTTGAAGGCGCTTCACCTGCCGCTATGGGCTTCTCTGGTGGGTAGGTGGGTGGGTGGGTGGGGGGGGAGGGTTGCAGAGAAGGGGGGCGGGGAAAGAAGGAGAGAGAGGGTGGTGAGAGAGGACTGGAGAAGTTAAGACCAAAGCGAGAAAGGGAGCGTATTTTTGAGGCGGCTCAAAAATAGACTCTATTTTTGAGGCGCCTCAAAAATAGACTCCTCATGTTAAGACCAAAGCGAGAAAGGGAGCGTATTTTTGAGGCGCCTCAAAAATAGACTCCTCACGTAAAGACCAAAGCGAGAAAGGGAGCGGGAAGTGAGATGGGAGTGGGAAGACAGAAGGGGAGAGGGAGACGAAAGGACCGCTTGAGAAGAAAGGACCGCTTGAGAAGAAAGAACGGATAGGAAGCCGTAATGTTGTGAGTGGAAGGAAGAACGGAAGGCCCCAATGACAGAAGCACCCTGAGTGGGAGAACGGAAAGAAGCAGAGAAAGCAATGCAGAGCGTGAGGGAGAGAGAGGGGGAGAGGGGGAGAGGGGGAGAGGGGGAGAGGGAGGAGGGAGGTACCTTGCATGACGTGCTTTCCCGCTTTCAACAACCGCAGCACTAACGCTGGCTGGAAGGAAGGGGAGATGAGAGGAGTGGAGAGGAGTGGAGAAGGGAGACGAGGGAGTGAGGAGAGTAGAAAAGATGATAGGGGTAGAAGAGCGCACGGCTGAAGACAAGAGGGGAGAAAGGCATGGGTGGTATGTGCTGGAATACCTGTCAAGTACAATGTGGTTACATGTTACACGTTACATGTTACACGTTACATGTTACACGTTACATGTTACATCTACACTCCTGCTTAGCGCACGGCCCTTGTGCCGCTTCAAAGCCTCCCAGCACAGCTGCGAGATTTAATGCACCTGGACCTGCACCGGCAGGACGGCTACAGTCGCTAGGTACAAGCTCAGCGCACCTGGACCACAACGCACCTGGACTTGCACGGGCAGCACCAGCACACAAGCCTCCACCTCCTCGCTCCTCTCAATGCGCGCCAAGCCCTCCTCTCCCCACACCGCCTCCACCGCCGCACCCCTCGCCGCGCCTCCCGCCGCCACCCACGCTGCTGCTAGCGCTTCCGCTGAGCCCTGGGAGCGGCTCCAGACGAATCGGAGCGCGATCTCAGCCTCGCTGGCCTTCAGTATCGGGAGATACGCGTCCCGCGCGAATATTCCCGCGCCTAAAAGCGCGATCTGCACGGGCCGCGACGGAAGTTGCGCCGCCATTGCTGGGGAATGGGGATGGGTGGAGGCGTGTGACCGTGGAGGGGCTGGTGAGGGATGTGGTTGGGAAATTGACTTGTACGCGTTAGAAAAGACGTGAGAGCATGTTGAAGCGGGGTGAAGTCACTTTGTAGTACAATCTGGCTAGGATCAAGCTACCCATTGCAAATTGCAGGCTATATTTACACAATATAAGCAAAACAAACTTCTTTCTATAGCTCATGACAAATTCGGCCAATTCCACCTCCCTTTTTATTAGCAGCAATGCAAATGGTACAATAAGGGACTTAGCCGACATATACTGGCATGTACACACTGTTTCGTACCCATGAGAGGCTGCCCCTAAAAGCCTCCTCATCGGCACTTATAACCACACCCATACCACACCATCAACGCCAGCATATAGGTACCGGTACATGTCTACCGGTTACTCAACCAGTTATTTCTAACTGCTATCATGTACACATTCCTTGCAGCCAAAATGCACCCTCTGGAGCAGACAGAGAGGGTGACAGATGAGAGCACAGAAAGAGACAGGTGGGTGGGAGATGGGTGGCGGTTCAATGGGACGCAGAGGGTCAGGACAGGAGGACGCAGACAGAAAGCAGAAGCACCAACGTTGGACACTCCTGATAAACCAAGAAGGAGCGGACGCAGCGAGGAGGTGCGGGGGATGCAACCAAGAGCGCAGATCCGCTTGGGAAAAAATAAAGAGGAAAAAAGAGAGACAACTGTTGCCTTGAATAGCGGCAGGCACTCAGGTTCAGAAAGCCAAGCACGCAGGGTCAGGCTGGCCGGTGAAGCACTGAGCTGCAACGTCAGGTGCATACTTGGCTCCAGAGACTTGACTCCAGACTCAGCTCCAGACGGAGCTCTAGGCTCAGCTCCAGACCAAGTGCCGGTTATCAACCTTGGAGTCGACTCGGACATCATCAGCCACAAGCACGACCTTTTCCGTATCAGTGCGCTCCTGCTGCCCATGGCACAAAGGTGCCTTGTTTGCATGGTAGTAGTAGCCCAACTCAAAAATCGCCGCATTGTCACAGCACCCTGCTACCCGTGGCGCGCAGAGGTGCCTTGAGTCGACTCGAACACAAACCCCTGTTGTCGCAGCGTCCAGCTGCCCATGGGGCACCACCGCACCACCTCACCACCACCTCCCTCCTCCCTCCTGCTACCCCGCAGCAGCGTCTCTGGCGCTCACTCACGACGACCGAGCGGCCAAGATCCCGCAGCTTCTTTTTCTTCCTCCCTGCCATTCCGCGTCAGGCGCGCCCGTCGCTGCCTCCGCCATCGCCATCTCGCCCGCGCCTCTCTTCCGTCCCGTGAGACTGCTCCCCGCAACATGCGGAAGCTCCTCCTCATCCTCCTCCTCCTCCTGCGGCTCGTCTTGCACCCAATTCGCTCCACTCTCCTGCTCGTGCTCCTGCTGCTCAACGTGCTCCTGCTCCTCCTGCTCGTGCTCCTCCTGTTGTTCGTCTGCATGTGGTGGGGAGGCACCGGGTTCCTCCGCCAGGCTACTAGGAGCAGCAGGCGGCATGGCCAGCAGCGCCAGGGACTCCGTCTCCGTCTCCGTCTCCGTCTCCGCCTCCGTCCCCGCCCCCGCCCCCGCCTCCTCCTGCCCCTCGTCATTCTGATCCGACTCGGGCAACATCCTGCCACCGCCACCGCCACCGCCGTCACCACCACTCGACGTCGTGTCGCAGTCCTCAGCAGACGAAAACGACTTCCCGCCGGTTCCGCCGCCGCAGCTGGCGGCATCCGCCGTCGCGGCACGGCTCCCGCTGCTACCCTCCCCGATGTCGGCGCTCCCCACCCTACACACGGACGTTCCTGACGGCTCAGCGCGCTCCGCCTCTGCCGCCGCCGCCCCTGCAGTCGCCGGTGCTGTCGCCGCCGCCGCTGGCGCTGGCGCTGCCGCCGCTACCGCTGGCGCTGCTGCCGACTCGTCCGTGGTGGAAAGAGAGGCCCCTCTTCCAGCGAACCCGCTATCGCCACAGTCTGACTCGCCCCACACGGCCGCATGATACGCGGGATTCGCGACAGAGGGCGCCGTCGCCACGCGAGGGAAGCTGGGACGAAGACTGCCGTCGCTGATCGGAGACGATGACGGAGACGATGACGGAGACGATGACGGAGACGATGACGGCGATGGGGACAAGGGACGGGAACACAACCCGCCACGAGCAGAAGCGCTGTGGTTGTCGGAGAAAGAATCGGCGTCGGAAGTGTAGGAGAGTAGAGAGGGAGGCAGGAGGGCGCAATCTGCGAGAGTGGGCGCGCAGGGAGGCGCGGAAAATTGCGCGGAGGATTGCGCGGCGGAGACGGCGTGCGCGGAGACGTGCGCTGGGACGTGCGCGTCGCAGTGGATGATGCAGCCATGGAGCAACGGACAGTCGATCATCACAACCTCCCCGTCCTCGTTGTCTTCCTCGTATTCGTCTCTCACGCATCCCACGCATCCCCATGGAGCACCCGCTACGGGAGCCCCCTCCATTGGAGCACCCTCTTCGGCCATGAATTGCAGCTCTTTCCCAGCCGCTGAAAACTCAGCGAGCTCTGTCAATTCGCCGAGGCGGCTCGGAAAATCGGATAAAAACGCCATGCGGGAGGAGGAGGCCACGGCGAGCAGCTGGTGTAGAGCTTCGGCAATGCACGCTGGAGATGCGGGCGCAATGCAAAGTCAGGCTTGGCGGTCGGAGCCGGAAGGCGAACAGAGCGGCTAGGCAATTCAGTACGGTACTGTAATGCTACGAAAGCAAAGCACCTCTTTACTCCCACACGTGAATTTCAACAGTTTGGCCCACGCCTGAACAAATCGGTGCACAAATCTGCGAGCGAGGAGGGGAGGGAGGGAGGGGAGCCGAATCGAATGCACCCGTAAGTTGACGAGGGAGAGCGAATGTGAGGAAAGCAGGCAGGACCAAGTACAGTCAACACAAGCACAGCACAACACATCGACACGACGCGCGAATGCACTTGCCCCTGGGCTGGTGGCAAGGAAGGAGCGATGGACGGGATGGGACGGAATGGATTGGGATGGAAGCGGGGGATTTTGGCGAAGTGGGGATTGGATTAGATGGTTGGATTGGGTGAAATCGAGGGCGATGCGGGGCATTTGAAAACTTTTCTGGTGGGCCGGAGGCTGGGTAAGGCACGGGAGAGTCGCACGGCAGGAAGGCAAGGAATGCGCGGATGGGGTGGAGTGCGGTGGGGTGCCCACTGCCCAGCTGCTCCAACTGCGGAGTGAGGCGGTGGGTTTAGGAAAATCGCCCGAGTGCTGTCAAGGTGAATCACCACCGGACCTGAGGGGACCAAGCATCCCCTTGGTTGGGGAAAAAGGTTTTGAGTCGTTGGGGGCAGTTCGGTTTGGATGTCCTGTTCGAGCCTGGGCTTGAGCTCCCCTGACCTTCAGGTTTGGGGCCTCCGCCAGGAAGGGCCTCGAGGGAAACGAGACCCCAGCACCCGCGAAGAAGATGGGCGATCACTTAGAGGGACATTTCCGCAGCGAGTGTTAGACCCGAGGGTTTAGCGGGAAGATCCGAGGCTGGAAAAAATTGCCTCGGGTCTTGCGAAAACTGACGGCTCCAGCCAGTCAGCTGTCAAACCGAACAACTAACAATGTCGCGCAAATGAAATTCCACCAATCATAACATCGTAATTTCTGGTGGACTCGCAAAGTTCGGCCAGTATAGTCGCAATCCTCCCCTTGCGACAAGTCGCGACTATGCAGCCGCTGCGCCGTCAAGAAAATTTAACCCGTAGCTAGGTTGTGACAGCCCGCGGCTCCTTCGGCCGCGGGTCGACCTCGAGTCTGACACTCGCTGAGGAAATCTCCCTGAGTGCTGGGTTACCGACTCCCTAAAAGTTTTGGGAGTCACCGCTCTGTTGGTACCTTTCAAACGACCGTACAGAACAATTAAGGTGGAGCTCGTGTACACAAAACACGTACACGTTTCACTCTACGATGTTAGAAAAGAAGAGAACCATTAAATCTTGGGGCTCTAGGTGGATTTACACCGAGGGGAGGCGGAAATTAGGTTGTAAACCGTTCAATCTTGGGTGGTTCGGGTAACGAGTCAGCTCAGGCGGGCACCTTGCACTGTGGGACTGCGAGGATGACGTGGCGCGGGAGGGGACGTGACGCTATGAAGCTTGCAAAAACACGCTTCCCAGACACGTGTGAAGGCACCAGGCAAAGTGGTTGGGGTGGGGGGGGGATCACACAGTCTGCTTTAAACGGGCAAGTCGAAACAGCAAGTCTGTTCTGTAGCGGGCAGAGAGAATAATTAAGATCACGACCGAAGGCACCAACGAACTGCGCCTCGACAGCTGTCGGGGGAAATTCGTATCCAGTGAAGACAGACACACACACTTCCCCTCTCCATATTTCCTCCCATCCCTAGTCGTCTGTCTGCCGAATGCGTCTAGCTGAGGCATGGAGTGTGAAATTTCCGTCTGCTATTGGCTTGCCTCGTCTGCCCAGTACTGCTTTGCATCGAACGAATCATAGCATGACAACACATAAACAATGGCGGGTTCTGCGCGTGAATGAGGTGGAATCCAAGCATGTTTCAGATGTGAGGTGATCTATCACCTGAACAGCCACTCACAAAGCAGCATGTGAAGCATTCTCGAATATGCCACGTCAACGGCATGAGCTTTGCTAAGTGCACTCCTGGTGCCCTGCTGGCACCTCCGTCCGACCTAGGGGTACGCGCTGGTGGAGATTCCATTGACCCGTGGAGGAGGTCGGCCAAAACTTTTGTTTCCTCAACTGTATGGACTGTGAGTGGCCGACAAGGCGGTGATTTCTGGCAGGGGTCTTGGCAATTGCAACCTGAAAGCATCAATCAGTGGGACTCGCAAACAAGCAAGTGGATGCATAAGTGTATGTGTGCGCTAGGCTCCAATTGAATAGAGTGAAAACCGAAGGCACCTTTAGGTGAAGCTTATACTTGCGAAATATCACGTTTATGGGAGCTCAACAATAAATAAGCTATCTAGTGAATCATGGCGCAGCATGCCAGGTGATACAAAATTCTAAAACAAATCCATGCCAGACTGAAACGCAATTGCCAGTATGGAGAACGGAAAACCCAGCCGGTATCACCAATGGCTGTGGGGAAGACCATGTCCCCTGGCATGAAGGCGCATGCCTGCCATTATAATTCATAAGGACTTGCCATGGCCCATGGCATCATCATCACCACCCCAAACAGCAGATGGCACTGCACTGCACTGCACATACACAACCAGGCCACACACCCGCGCTCCATGGCTGATGCCCAGCAGTACGAGCTTGGATTGCTTGCACCAGCTCTTTCAAGCTACTACCAGCACCAGCAAATCTCAGCAGCATTTAAATTCAGCAAGGCCTCTCCTCCAACTCGACCTCGTCTCAATCAAATCACCTCTGCTTTCAGCAGCTCACACTAGTGCTTGAACCCCTGCTGGAAAATTAACTCGTCGTCCTCATCTGTGTCCGATTCCCACCCTGCAAACGCCCTCTCCCACTTCTTTCCAGACAACTGCGCATCAGGAGACCACCGCTGCAGAGACTTCCTCACAGCAGCCCCCCCCACAGTCATCCGTTGCGCCCCTGCTGCTGCTCCATACCTCCCCATTCTTCCCCGTCCCTCCCCCTCCTCATCCTCACTAGACTCCTCCCCCCACTGCTGCTGCTGCTGCGCCTGCCGGTGCCGCGCCTGCTGCTGCGCCTGCTGCTGCTGCATTTGGTTGACAGCAGCGGCAGCAGCACCGCGCATGCGAATCGCCCGCTGCTGCTGGAGAATACCCGATCCCAGACCAACACGTGCGGAGCCCACAGGATGACCCAGGGGGTTCACGACAGGGATAGACCCAAAGGGGGAAGCTGGGGAGGTGGAAGGGGAGGAGGCGGAAGTGGGCGAGCCGGGGGCAGCGGCTGGGGAAGAGATGCCGGTGAGGATGTGTGCGAGAGGGGGTGAGGTGGGGGTGTGTGGGCGCAGGCGCAGCCAGCGGGTGATAGCGCTGGCAGTGACGCGCAGGACACCGGAGGACTCGTAGCCAAAGTAGGGCAGGCCGAGGCGACGCAGCAATGCTGCCACTGATTGGGACGTCCTGCATGAGAATGATGGACGAAGGGGGGATAGACGAGGGTACATGAGCAGGCAGCAATATGCACAAACAGACAGATTAACTTTCCATGCTGATTTTTTTTTCCCCAATTCGCTCCCCTCTAAAAGCCTTCAGGTCTCCCACCCAACTGCCCCAACCGCTGCAGTGCTAAGCTCAGCTAAACCCCCCTTTCAGTCCCTGTACCTGGACGCAATCTGCAGTGCGTGTGCGGCCCTGCGCTTTAGGGGTTTGACTTCCACTGACTCCACTGGCAGGTGCAGCGCAATGGGGAAGATCTTCATGCCCGGGGCTGCAGCACAGGTGGCACAGGCAGAGGCAGACACAGACGCAGAGTGAAAGGGAGGAGGTTAAAGAGGAAGCCGAGCCAAGGAAAGAGCAGCACAGGGAAGAGTGGGAAAGAGGAGAGTAGAGTCGAGAAGAGTACGGCAGAGTGCGGAATAGTAGGAAAGAGTGAAAGTGGGAAATGTGGCGAGAAGGAACCATTGGACTAGGTGAGGGTGGTTGGTTGGTGATATTGATCATTACTTGCTCGGTACTTCTTAAGCAGTCCTCGCAGCAGCACCAACACACACACCTACGCAAGGCAACCACCAGCACACAAGGGATCAAGTTACGCGAGAGGAAAACAAGGAGAGTAGAGAGAACCAAAGATAAGCAATCAGTACAACGGAGGGTCTGAAGGGGGAGGAAATTTAGTTAGTTTTGAGGCACCTCAAAAGGTGATTTTTGAGTCGACTCAAAAATCACCTACGGAGGGTCTGAAGGGGGAGGAAATGGGCGGGCACAGATTCACAAGGGTTGATTCGATGATAGCGCAGGCACGCATGTTGAGGGTAAGTCACGGACGCAGGTCCGATGTAAAGATAGCTGGGATTTACAACATTTGAGGAGGGGAGGGGGCGAGGAGGGGGCCGGGGAGGTGGGGGTGTGGTGGGGCTTATGGGTGGGTTTGCTGAAGGTTACCTCTGCAAGGTTTGGCGGGTATCCCGTGAATCGCAGGGAGATGGGTCCAGCGGTTGAGGAGAGCACAGGCACCGCTCCTAGCACCTCTGCCTCCTGGTAGCCATGGCATACGGCACACAGCCAAGCCACATGGCACACACGGGACACATGGCACACATGGGACACATGGCACACATGGGACACATGGAACACATGGGACGCATGGCACACATGGGACACATGGAACACATGGCACACACGGGACACATGGCACACATGGGACACATGGCACACATGGCACACATGGGACACATGGCACACACGGGACACATGGCACACACGGGACACATGGCACACATGGGACACATGGGACACGGCAAAGGTACATTGACACGATTAAGCAAGCAGGGAACGGAAATGCACAAGGAGCATCACATATGAGAGTGCACAATGGCCCTTTTTTCTGTGCCCTCTGCCCCCTGCCCTCTGCCCTCCCCACTCACGCACCTCATAGAGTGAGTAGGCAAGAGGCTCATAGAGGTCAAACACATCTGCCAGGGGCGACGTCGCACTGCCTGCACTGCTGCTGCTGCGAGAAGAAGAGAGGGCAGACACTGCAGACGCTGCTCCTGATGCTGCTGCTGAAGCCGATTCTAGGTTGTTGGCTGCAGTTTCTGGCACAGTGAAGGCACTGCTGCCGCTGCTGCTGCTAGTAGAAGCTGGACTCAATGCGAAACCAGACGAGGGGAGCGAAGGAGGCAGGCGCGACGCAAAGGCAGGAGGCGGCGGTGCTGCTGCTGCTTCTGCTGCTGCTTCTGCTGCTGCTGCTGCTGCTGCTGATGATGATGATGGGGGAAAGGGCGCAGCAGACTGACCACTTTCTTCCTCTCCTGCTGCATGCATGGAGACGGGCATATGTGGGCTAGCGGGCGACGGGGACGCCAAGGGGGAGACGGAGGAGGAGGAGGAGTCTGGGGCGCGCAGGAGGCAGAGGAGTTTCGAGAGGAGGTTGAGAGTGGGGATGACGCCGCAGGCCACGCTCTGGCGGTACACGGCCAGGCCACACTCCGCCCTGGAAGGCAGAGAAGGGAAGGGCAGGCATGCAGAGGAAGTGGGAGTGTTAAGGCGTTTCGGAGTGGGAGGAGAGGAAGGGACGGAGGTAACAGGTGGAAGGGATCGTATGATGCGTGCTATGGAATTACGGGTAGAGCTGAGACGCAACGTGACTTTTGAGTCGACTCAAAAGTCACCTCGTTACGGTGGAAGGAATCGTATGATGTGTGCTATTGAAATACCGGTAGCGCTCAGAGACACAAGGTTGGTCCGTGAAGGAATGCTTAGTCGGACGGATGGACGGTTGGATGGATGGATGGATGGATGGATGGATGGATGGATGGATGGATGGATGGATGGATGGATGGATGGATGGATGGATGGATGGATGGATGGATGGATGGATGGATGGATGGATGGATGGATGGATGGATGGATGGATGGATGGATGGATGGATGGATGGATGGATGGATGGATGGATGGATGGATGGATGGATGGATGGATGGATGGATGGATGGATGGATGGATGGATGGATGGATGGATGGATGGATGGATGGATGGATGGATGGATGGATGGATGGATGGATGGATGGATGGATGGATGGATGGATGGATGGATGGATGGATGGATGGATGGATGGATGGATGGATGGATGGATGGATGGATGGATGGATGGATGGATGGATGGATGGATGGATGGATGGATGGATGGATGGATGGATGGATGGATGGATGGATGGATGGATGGATGGATGGATGGATGGATGGATGGATGGATGGATGGATGGATGGATGGATGGATGGATGGATGGATAGATGGATGGATGGATGGATGGATGGATGGATGGATGGATGGATGGATGGATGGATGGAGAGATCTGAGCTGGCACATGAGAGCGCGGGCAGGCAAAGCAAGAGGCAGGATGAGAACGAGAAACATAAAGTGAGGGAGTGAGTGAGTGAGCAAGCGGGGAGCACAGATGTCAGCAGAGTTGGCACAGCACAAAAGGCGTCAGAGAGGGTGCGAGTATGGGTGTGGGTGTGGGTGTGATTGAGTGCGAGGGGCCACCGGAACAACCGCCTGAGTGAGAGTAACTGACCAGTCGTTGTCAGGGTGCCTGAGGTCAAAGGCCATAGGGAGATGGCCGATGACAAAAGAGAAGGACGGCTTGGGCGCACCCGCCCTGTGCTGCTCCAGGCATATCTCTGCCAGGAGTGGATTCGGGGGCGGGGAGGGGGAGATGAGTGAGAGGAAGGGGAGGAGAGGAGAAGAGGAGAGTACAGGATTGGGGTAGGTTTGACGAGGAGAGAAGACAAGAGGATAGAGGGGGATAGGAAAAACCGGGAAAGATGAAGAGAGGAGAGGAGGGCAGAGGAGAGCATAAGGGTCCCTCCCTCTCTCTTCCTCTCCAGCGCCCATCCCAAAAAAACGAAAGAGAGACTGGTGCACATCACCACTTCACTGATCATCACCACATGTCATGTCGTGTCATGTCATGTCGTGTCATGTCGTGTCATGTCATGTCGTGTCATGTCGTGTCATGTCATGTCATGTCATGTCGTGTCATGTCACCAATCGTATGTCCATCTCACCGATCATGCTGTCGCAGATGGCATGGCCGATGCGCACCCCGTCCACCTGAGCCTCGTGGTAGAGGGAAAACGCCCGCTCCACCATGCTGCGTCTGCCAGGAGGGGGGAATAACGGGGGGATGGGGGGGGGGGGGTGGATAAATGGGGGAGCACGGGAGGGAGGGAAGGAGGGAGGGAGGGGGGTACGACCTACAACCTGCCATGCCTGTACCTACCACCTACTTAATACAAGGACAAGTTGAGGGAGGGGGGAACAGTGTGCAGGGAACGTTAGCAGAGGGCACAACGTCAGGCACGCTAGAAGAGTTAGAGGGGGCACAGAGGAGGAGTGATAAGGTGGACAGAGGAGCGGCAGGGCTTACTCCTTGCAGGCGGCGATGAGGAGGGCGTAGGTTGTCTTGTCCGGCTTGAGGTCCATGCCCCGCATGTCCTGCCGGGCTGCCAGCGCCTCCTCCACACACCCCTGCTGGCCTGCCGTGCACGATAGCGCACACGCATGGGTGGGAGAGGAGGGGGGGGAGGGGTGGGGGAGACTTTTGAGTCGGCTCAAATGCCCTGCAGGGCTGCCAGCGCCTCCTCCACGCACCCCTGCTGGCCTGCCGTGCACAATAGCGTGCACACATGGGTGGGAGGAGGGGGGAGAGAGAGAAACACGGGGGAAGGAAGTATGGGGGGGGAAGAGGGGAGGAGAGAGTATGGTAAGAGTAACATGGGGGTGGTGGGGAAAGGAGGGTGTTCGAAAAAGAGCGTGAGTGGTTGCATTGGAGTTTGAGGTGTGTGCAAGTGCTTGGAATGAGTGAGAAGAGCAGAAAGGGGATGAAGGAAGGAATGGTATGAGGTGAGAGCAACGGAGGAGTGGGGCGCACACACACACACACACACACACACACACACACACACACACACACACACACACACACACACACACACACACACACACACACACACACACACACACACACACACACACACACACACAACACGGAGAAGTGGAGAGTGCGTTGACTCACAGAGCGAAGTGAAGAGTGCGTTGACTCACAGCGCGAAGTGGAGAGTGCGTTGACTCACAGAGCCAAGTGGAGAGTGCGTTGACTCACAGAGCCAAGTGGAGAGTGCGTTGACTCACAGAGCGAGGTGATGAGCGCATTGAACATGGACACGGAGGGCCGCAGCATGGCTGACTGCTGCTGCTTGGCCTTCACCTCCGCATACAGCTGCGACGCCTCGTCCATCAGACCCAGCTGCAGGCAGTCCGACAGGCAGGGTTGAGGGGAGGGAGGAGGAGAGAGAGCAGGTTGAGGGGCAAGGAGGGACGGGGATGGGCGGGTTGGGGGTGGTGGGAGGGGGGGGAAGGGGAAGTCGAGGGGTGTGTGCACAGGCGGGTGGGGGTCTGCTTGGGAAGGAGATGGAGCGGGCATGAGGAGGAGGACACGAATGCAGATGCGAGTGTGCGGCATACCCTGTTGTACATGCCCATAAGGGCTGCGTAGGTGACAGTGCCTGGCTGCACGCGCGCCCTACGCATCTCCTGCAGCAGTGCCACGGCCGCGTCAGGCTTGTTGGCATGCGCTGCCACGTTGATCAGCGCACTGAAGAGGATCTGACAGCGGGGCGAAGGGAAGGAAGGAGCAGGGCCACAGGGGGAAAGAGAACAAGTCGTGTTGGATTCAGTGAAATTCTAGTTCTTCTTTTTGTTTCTTGTGTGTGTTGTTTGTTTGCTTTTCCAGGAAGATGCGCCTGGCAACAGGCGTCGCGCTTGTTGGCATAGCACTTAAGAGGATCTGACCTCGGGGCAGCAGGGCGAGAACACAGCAACAAGGGGGGGGCGAAGGAGTATTACTGGGGTACAAGAATCTGATCAACAAATCCCCTCGCCATACCCCCCCCTCCCCCTCCCTCACCTCATCCGGCTTGACCCCCTGCTGCTTGAGGTGCTGGTACACGGCCAGGGCACGTGGCAGGTCGCCTGTCTGGCTGCATGCATGCACGGCGGCCGTGTAAACCTCCAGAGAGGGGCGTACCCCGCCTGCCCGCATCTCCTCATACACCTCCAATGCCCGCTCCACCTGCGCAGACACAGATTTCGTACGGTGGTTTGGGGGGAAGAAGTGGGGTAGGGGCGAGAGAGCGGAGGTGGGTAGGGCTTCTCAGTGTGTTCTACCCTCTTGACCTTTTGTTCTTCCTTTTCTCACCCCCCCCCCTCTCCCCTCACCTTCCCGTCCCCTTCCCCTTCCCCCTCCTGCCCTCAGGCACTCGTTCCCTTTTCCCCTCCCCATGGACGGCTCCTCACCTGCCCGCAGTTGGCATTGACGGCGCCCATGGTGATGTGGTTGGGGGTGAGCCCCTCAGCTCGTCAAACGCGCTTTCAACAACCCCCAAACCTTCCCCCCCCCCCCCTTCCCCTGTTCCAGTCCCCCACCCCCATTCCTCCTCCCTTTCCCCACCCTGCTCCAGCAAGCGCCCCTCACCTGGCCGCAGTTGGCGCAGGCGGCGATGACAGCGCCCATGGTGACGTGGTCGGGGGTGAGCCCCTCGGCGCGCATGTCCACCAGCACGTCAAACGCACGCTCCCAGCTGCCCGCGCGTCCACACGCCGTGATCAGCGCGTTGAAGATCGCCCGGTCGGGCTTCAGACCCTGGGGGGACGGGGAGAACAGGGGGGACGAGGGGAACAGGGTGGACGGGGGGAACGTGGTGGACGGGGAGGGGGAGAGGAAGGGGCAAAGGAGGGGAGGGAAAAAATGGGTGAGATGGGTGAAGGCGCGTGAAGGGGTGAGATTGCCCCGTCCGGCTTCAGACGCTGGGGGGGCAGCGAGGGGAAGACTGGAAGGGGATAGGGGGTGAGTAATGAGGGATGGGTAAAGAGGCTGGTGGGCACAAGAGGAGGAAGCAAAAGAGGAGGAAGAATCTAAGGTCGGCAGAGATAGAGCAGTGGGGACGAGAGGGAGGAGACAGGGTTACAGGGGGAAGGGGGAAGCGGGAGGGGGGCAGGGGGGAGGGGGAAAGCGGGAGGGGGGAACGAGGGGTGGTTCTGGGGGGGTGTGAGAGAGAGCAGAGAGCAGAGAGCATGTGGTGTAGGGGGCGTTACCTTGGAGAGCAGGATGCCGTACGCGCCAAAGGCCTTGGCCACATGGCCCTGCTTGGCGCACCCGTCCACCAGCGTGCCAAACGTGCGCACGTTGGGCTGCACCCCTGCCGCCTCCATGTCATGGTACACCTGTCAAAGTAGTGTGTAAGGGGTGGGAAGGGAGGGAAGGAGGGGGGACGGGGGACGTGGGGTACGCGGAGAAGAGAGGCTGAGGCGTTTGAGACGGACGTTGGGCTGCACCCCTGCCGCCTCCATGCCATGGTACACCTGTCACAGAAGTGCGGAAGGGGCAGGAGGGAGAAAGGAGGAGAAGAGTTGATGCGCCAGAGAACTATGCAGCAGCCTAGCCACCCCATACTGTGGTACACCTTTAAGAGTGGTGCAGGAGGGGCGGCGAGCAGGGCTGGGTTGGCGTGGATCGATGTGTGGAGCGTGGATGCGCATGTACATGTTTGTGAGTTGAAAGCTAGGTGACGATGAAGGCAAGGGCAAGGCAGCAAGGGGCGAGTCACTGGCTTGCACTGGCTTGCACTGACCTTGAAGGCGAGGTCGAGCTTGGCGGCCTTGCAGCAGGCGGCAATGAGCGCTGTGTACAGCGCCGTGTCCGCGCGCCACCGCGACGCCTGCACCATGCGCAGCACCCGCTGCGCCGCTGCAGAGGGGCAGGCAGAGAGGAGGCAACGCGTGGGGATAAGAGGAAGGATTGCGATGAGTCGCCTCAATTGCATGGCGTTTCCACCATGCGCTGCACCCGCTGCGCCGCCGCAGAGGAGAAGGCAAAGGGGAGGCAAAGGGGAAAGGGATGCGGGAATTCCGAGTGAGAGCTCTGTCCGCCTGTCACTGCAGGGAGGAAGGCAGGCGGGGTGGTAAGCAGGGTGATGTTAATCAACACACAGAGCAAGAAGCGAACGGCACTGGGAGGTGGGCACGTACATGTGACATCGGCGCAATGCGAGCAGACGGAGAGCAGCTGGTTGTACGTGGACAGCTGCGCCGCACCCGCGGACTCCAGCAGCGCCACGAAGCGGAACGCCGACGCCACGGCGCGCTCGGACTTGCACATGGAGAAGAAGAGGTTGTGGTAGATCTGACGGGGGGGAGGGGGGGATGGAGGTGGGGGGAGAGGAGGGATGGGGAGGGGAAGGGGGAGGGAGGGGGGGGGATGTGGGTAAGGGTTGTAGACGTCTGCATGGCCCGTTCGGACTTGCACATGGAGAAGAAGAGGTTGGGGTAGATTCGACAAGGAGGGGAGGGGGAAGAAAGCGGTGGGGGTGAGGGAGATGCGAGGGAGGTGTGAGGGAGGTGTGAGGGAGGAGCGTGGAAGGTGCGAAGGAGGTGTGAAGGAGGAGAGAGGGAGTGCATGTGTAGGCGCACCTGCAGAGGAGCAGGCAGAAAAGGTGAGAGGAGGTGCAAGGAAGGAAGCAAAGGAGCACGCGGTTGGCCGCTAGGGTTACACCCACCTGGTTGGGGTCAAAGAGGGCATGCTGATGCATCTGCTCTAGAAGATTGACGCACTTGTCCAGCCTGATATCGCAGGGGGGAGTGGGGGGAGTGGGGGGAGGGGGAGGAGGGGGCACGCAAAGAGGCGAACAGCACGCACAAGGAGCAGGGGACAGTGAGATGGCGACGAGCACACGGTCGCGCAGTTCATGGGCTCTGTTCGACGTGTGCAGCAAGCACGCGCACTCACAACAACTCTTTTGCGAGCAACTAGCCTGCATCATCATCCCTTGTGTCTGTGTGAGTATGTACGTGTGAAACTGCCAGCGTGTAGACTTGTGATTCGTGATTCCGCACGGCAGCGCGAAAGGCAGAGACTGCGCAGCAGTCGACCATGCGAGGCACGCTGTTCGTAAGCATCCACGAGTTTTGTCATTCGCACATGGTTCGTGCGTGAGACTCTAGAACACTCTCCTCGTTAGTCTCGATAGGTTCTCCTCCTCGTAACATGTGAAATCCCTTAGTGCTCCCGACCCACGCCTTCAGATTTGGAAAATAAACAAGAGGCGACGAGATCGTCTTAGGGTTGCGGAGCATTTCATGATGAGACTTTATTATACATAAAATGTTTTATTTCCATCACAACAAACATTTGATTTTTATTTCACAAACTTGAAAAAAAAACCAGCCAGATCGATTGCAATAGGTTGCTCCGCAACCCAAAAAATCCCTACACATCTCCTGCAACGAAGCGACAACCTTTAGGGAGCCACCACAGTCCTGGCGCCGTTCACATCCACAACTCATGCACGCACGCACACCACTCGCTCGCATGTGCGCGAGCCCTTCGCCACACATGCACGAAACCCACCTCATTCGAATACACCAAGTCTCATCACAACACCTCACGTATTGAAGAGTCAAAACACACACCTGCCGCCCAGTCGGACCCATCGGTTGTACGTCGCGACATACTTCTCCACGTCACCGTCCGCCTCCACTTTCACATCCTCCTCCACCCCTTCCGCCGCCGCTGCCCGCCTCCTCTGCTGCTGCTGCTGCTGCTGCCGCCGTCTCTCCCCATCCCCTTTGCCGACCCCTGCCCTCCGCGTCGTCTCGTCCTCCGTCTCCGCGCCTTTCTCCAGCGCGACGGTCGCTCCGGTCACGCTACCGTGAGCGGCGGGCGGAAGAACCTTTCCGCCCTGGGCACTTCCGCTCCCGCTCCCGCTTACGCTTCCGCTCTTGCTTCCGCTTCCGCCGGCAAAGCTGGAGGAGCGCTGGGGGCTAGACGCACGCCCAGCGCTGCTCCCGGTGCTGCTGCTCCCGGCGCCGCATCCGCCGGAGAGGCCGTCAGAGTCGTTGTCGGAGCCAAGGCCCGGACTGGCTCTCGCGATGATTCGGACGCGTGGGGCGTTGGCGAGCGCGATAGCGCGAGATGCGGCAGGCTGCGACGAGCGAAGAAATGGACCGCAACGTAACGGAAATGAATGAAGGAAGAAGAACGGAACGGGGATTGGACTGGACGCTTACGAAGGGAACCAGCGTCACAAGCGTCGTCCTTTTAGATACGGTGACAAAGACGGGTTCAAAGGCGTTTCCAGGGCTTGCGAGAGGGAGGACGACTGAAAAGCCGGCAGTGAGGAAAACAACGCGTTCTGAAACGAGGTCAGGAGCCAGGTGAGCAGGCGCATGCGACGAAGAAACTCGAGAGTCACACAGACGTTCGAGCGCGGACAGAGAATGTGGAAGGAAAAGGACCGATAAAAGACCGAGAATAACCCGCAAGACGCCATGGAGCGGAATAGATCTACGTAAGGGATGGATGGCGACGCTGAGAACGCTACAACCTATTATGAGCTCGGAAGAGGTGCGCGAGAGCGGAGGGAGAGCGATCCGGTGAGACGTCTAGTTGTGAAATTGAGTAAGCAGGGAACTTAGCAAGTGTCATTAGCCGGAACCGGGAATAATCGGACAAAACCCAGCGACACGAAACGAGCATGCAACTTATCGGAGGGTGGAAGGAGATTGGTTACGGGTAAGCGGTTGAAATAGAGCTCGTGTCACCTAGCTTAAAAAAGAAAACCAGCGGAACGCAACGGGACTGAGCGCCGCAACATACTCCTGTCAATGGAAAAAGAAAAGAACGACGCCGTACCTTGTTCAGCATTCCAGCTACAGGCGACGCGGAGATGAATGAGAGGAAATGCGTATTTTCCCGTCGCGCTGCTTGCAAAACAGCAACCCCCCGGCTCAGCGTTAAATCCGTCGCCATGGTCAGGCGGGAGCGAACTTGAACCGAGAGGATGTTAGAACCAACGACCTCGCCGTTTGGAGAAGAGACCCCGGTGTCCTAAATGCTGTTGCGAGAAGGACGGGAATACTTCAGGAGGTTTCGGGGTCACTGAGAACGTCGCAATTGGACTGAAGGGACTCCGCAGCACAGAAACCGTAGCACGGTGATGAGGATCTGCTGCTGAGGAGAACAGCAGGAATTTCAGCTTCCTGTTCTCTAGTGTTGTGGTGGAGTAGGTGGCGGTGTAACAGCAGGCAGCCCTCGCCCAAGGTACGGTAGTGGGTGGTGAAGAGCGTTTCCTGACAATATTGGAGGGACAGAACAGAAGGGAAGGGAGGGAATCAGGTGAAGGGTGCAGTGCAGTATGCTCGGTGCAGTGCAACATGCTCGGCTCACGGACTTCTCTGGGCCCCAGGGGGAAAACGAAACGCGCAGGTTGGGCGAACACGCGCAGCGCGCGCTTTGTGGCTTGGTTTGGCGGGTGCCATTACAGAGGCGGCTGAGCGGAGCACCATGAAGATTGTGCCACATGGCAGATAGGATCGCCAGCAAAAAGCGTGTTTTGGAGGGAGTTGAGGACCTTGCCACGGCTCTGTCCAACTATCTGCTAGTTAGGAAGGTCTTTGGCCGTCGATTCTTCACTTCGCGATGATGGATGGCCTGAAAGAGATTCTAGCAGAAAAACAAATTTATTGGCCACAGACCCAGCTGCTGATGTGGCCGCAAAAGCCGTAAGATCTGGCGAGTGTGACTGGGCCAGGATGCTTGCCAGGCAAGCCAACAAGCAGCACATAACTGTTTGAACAAAAGCATACAGCGCGCTTCACGTACATTGAACTGTACCAGTAAAAAACAGCTCTTATCAAGCTCATATGTGCTAGGCACAAGTGTTCATGATATTGATGATATATGACAGCAAGCATGAAGTGGGTCTGCAAAAAACATGAATATTTAATCATCGCACATATTTTATCGTTAAAAAATATACTCCTGGTTGAAATATTGATAACATAATGGTTATCATAGAAAATGAATTTGAGCCCAAAGAATATAATATTACAGTTTTTTCAAGGTTTTTAATCAAAATAAAATACTATTAAACTAATTTCCGATTATTATTATTATATTGCCTCATCAGAATCTGGTTTTGCTTTGGTGTGAAAAGATGCAGCTACATATATGGATGGAAACATAGACAGACGATTCGTATACGATATTGAATCAAGCGGATTGAGCCACATTATCGCAAAATATGAATCACCATCCGCAGGTTGAGATTGAGCTTTCCTCATCAACCTCTTAGATTCGTGATTCGTACTGGATCTCCAGCGTAGGGTAGGTTAGGTCTCTTAGTAGTTTCTGAGCCATCTATTCGAGTCCGTACCACTTTCGGTTCTTCTTGTCGCAAAGTTACGCGAAGATGTCGGCTCTGGCTTTCTTGGATGCGCAGCAGGCTGCTCGGCCAGACCTTGCAGTCTGGTTCGCAGACATGGGGGATCTGTACCAGAAAAAGCTATGGCATCAGCTGACAATCAAGTTGGAGCAATTTTTGGCACTTGCCGTGCTGCAGGTATGGATTGGAAAGTGATCTTGCCAACCGTGTCCACCGTTTTTCGAGACTTGGCTAATTGTGCTGTCAGATCCACCCGTGTGATTCGAATGTTTCCTGTAGGCTGGAGATATCATGATCCAGCTGTATCAGAACTTCATTTCGGACTTCGAGACAAAGATAAACCTTCTGAAGCTTGCTCACTTCTCGGTCATAATCTCCCGTCAATACACTGACAAATCCGAGGCGATAGCTTTTCTGGAGGGGATTATTGAGAAGCTGAGGGGAACTAAAAGTACGAGGATAGAGGAGCCAGTGGTTTATGTCAAGATGCAGATCGCTGCTTTGAAGCTGCAATCGGGGGATCGGAAGGAGTGCAAGGCCCTTCTGGACGAGGGTAGGGCAATCCTTGATAGCATGGCGGATCTCGACCCCTCAGTTCACGCCAGCGTTCATTGGGTTAGCTCTCAGTATTACAAATCGAAGCAGGATTTTGCTGAATTTTACAAGAGCGCTCTTCTCTATCTGGCCTACACGTCTGTCGACACCCTCACTGACCCCTTCAAGCTGGTACGTACCTCTTGACACTCTATCGTCCGTTCAACTTCAAGCTGGTCGAGTATCGCTTGACGCCTGCCTGGTCTCTGTTTAGGATTTGGCTGTCGATCTGTCTTTGGCGGCGTTGCTTGGAGAGAACATCTACAACTTCGGCGAGCTCTTGGCGCATCCAATCGTGAGTTTCTAATATCTTGGTATGAATTATCTTGTAGCAGATTTCCAACGTATGCAGGGCCACTAAATACTGTTTTTTTACTTAACAGGTCAAGGCCTTGGAGGGTAGCCAGTTTCAATGGCTGTATCACATTCTCGTCGCCTTTGAGCATGGTGACTTGCACAAGTATGATGAGCTGTGCTCCCTGTATGCTGCTCACCTCAACGCTCAGCCAGCTCTGGTGGAGAATGAGAGACGTTTGAGGGAGAAAATTACAATCCTGTGCCTAATGGAGCTGATTTTCAGGCAAGTGTTCGCTTGGTTAAAGGCGAGTTTTTAGTTTCTTATGTGGGACCCGGGGTAAGCTCTCGTTTGTTTCCTACTGCAGCCGGCCATCTGATGACCGCACAATTCCGCTGACAACAATTGCTGAGAAGACCAAGCTTCCCCTGGATGGCGTGGAACATCTATTGATGAAGACCCTCTCGGTATTGTTCAACAACACACTTGTTGCTTTCCTCAGCCCCTACTTATTGCTTTTTTTAGCCCGTACGTTTGGGCGTACTCTCGCCTTGTGTGGCTTGCTTCGTTCTGATTTCCTTGGGTGCCGCTGGCAGGTGCACTTGATTGAGGGTGTCATTGACCAAGTGGAAGGACATGTGCGGGTTTCTTGGGTTCAACCTCGGGTTCTCAATCTTCAACAAGTTGCTGGTCTGCGGGATCGACTCGACATTTGGCTCAGCCGGGTGCATTCTACCTTGCTGGCGGTTGAAGCAGAAACCCCAGAGCTTCTAGCAAGTTGATACCGGTAGATATGAACTAATAATACATCTGCGTCGCTGCTGCTCGCTCCGCTGATGCCCCATTTCCCGACCTGATTCCCCTAGTCTAGGTGTGATGCTGTGGGTATTATTGATGACATACTGGCTCTTTTCAGATGAACATTTTATCACCCTTTGGTTCCCTGAAAATTCTGCTGGCTCCATTCCCGACCCAACATTCTCCAGTATCCCAGTATAGTAAGCATTGCCTCCAACACCAGGTTAAGTCACTGCCGTGAAATGTTTCTGATTGTTACAAACCACGTGTTCGTACTGTCAGAATCTTTGTTGGTACTGCTATGGAGCATAGCATATGGACTCGTCTTGCCAGTGGCAAATCATCAATCACACACAGCAAGTGCCACAGCAAGCAGAGCAATGGATAATCTGCACTAGATGCTCCTTCCAACCAATATGGCTTAACAAAGCACCATGCAGTGAAGGCAACGCTAAACAGGGCTGAAGCCAACTTCAACAGAGAACACCTTCAGAGTTGGACATGCCATTTGAATCAAGGGTGCGTTTCCCTTCATTGCCTTGCAGCACAGCGAATGCACACACTACTGGTTGATCTCCTTCTTCTTAGCTTGCCACAACCGATCGAGGGAGCTATCTCCCTCACCCTGCCGGGAACAGGCAGTTGGGAAGAAGTGAACGGAAGCATAACCCTTTTAACTAACATGGCGTGTGCATGTGAGGAAAAAAAAGTCGGCGTCGTAGCCCGTTGACACCAGCACGAGCTTGAACACACCAGTTTATTTCGGCCACGATGAAAAAGCGGGGATGCAAAGCCTTTCTCGTGCGGTTTGGAAGTTTCAACCTCATGCTAAACACGCAATTCTCTTGCACTGAAAGCAAGCCCCCAGCAGTCACGACGGACTCACCTGGGCGCGCACGAAGCCGCAGAGCGCGAAGGTGTTGTACTGGCCGGTGTACACGCCATTCGCATCGAGGTTACCGACGTTGATCTGAATGGCCGCGTGGTCCTTGGATGTGATCAGACGGTTGGTGGCCGAGCTGCAATAAGGGTGCAAGAGGAATCAACGTGGAGAAACGGCGTGACGGGGGTTACTCGGACAAAGTATAGCGAGTCTCGAGGAAGCATATTGTAATCGGTGACAAAGGCAAAGAACGAAATCCAGGCAGGCAGACAGAGACAGATAGACAGACTGTCTGGTAGTTGGATCCGTCGTCGACCAGCATCGTAAATGCTTCTGGGGGTCACGACACATAGCAATCCAACATGTCGACGATTAAAGAGGTTCGGAATCCAACGCCCCATTAGAAATACCACCGAGATTCCAATCAGGAAGAATTAAGAGGTACCATGCTCATTCTAGGGTTAGGGTTACGAAATCGGTTTCGGTTTTGAATTTCTCAGTACAAACCGGCGAGACGGACTTCTTGAACAAGGCACGACGACGCATCGCCACGAGAGGAACAAGGGTATAAACCGCCGGAGAAGCTCTAGGACGAGAAAACATCTGCAGCAGCCACTCTCGCATGACAACTCCAGCCTCTCGCGCTACGTACCACTTCCTCGGGGTGTAGAGATCCACGAACTCTCCGTCCTCGTTCTGCATGGTGGCGGGTGTAACGGTCAACCGCTAGGAGGCGAGGAGAGGTAAGAAAGTAAGGCGGGGTGCAGGCAGGCGGAGAGAAAGGGCTCAAATGAGGTTTTGGTTGGAGAAAAAGGGGCGTGAGGCGAGGTGAGTTGCACGCGGGGGGAACGAGAGCGAGAAGTTGGGCGGGAGAGGGAGGGAGGGTGGGGGTGAGGAAGGGAGGTGGGGGTGGGGGTGAGGAAGGGTGAACAGTGAGGCGGGGGTGGTCGGCGGAAATTCGTGGGGTTGAAGGTTTGGCGGAGGGCGAAAGGGGGATGGAGGAAAGCGCATGTGACCAGGCCCTGAGATATCAGCCTTTTTAGGCTGATTTGGATTTCGAGTCCAGGCCATATCTTGGCATTGGCTGGTGCAAATGATGCAATTTCTTTTGAGGGACCTGCTGTTGAGAAATAAGTTGCAATGGGCATTTTGCAAACACTGGAAAATCATAGACAACAGGAAAAAAACAGCCATTGAAATAAAGCTAACCAGAGCTTTAAGGTTGATATCTTAGGGCCTGCATGTGACCCACTATCGTAGGTTCGAATACCGATCTTGTTCAATAAGTGACAAACATGAAACAAGGAAAGCATGGATTGAATCACAAAGGAGAAATTGGTGTCGTGTAAAAACTCATATCAAAAATGATGTGATCATTGCATGGTTAAGATGTTGGCAATAATCTGTTCAAACTTCGAATTCGTTACCATAATGAAGGTCACAGTATATAATCCCCACATTGATATGCATCGTAAAGTCCACCATACCCTATTATCGAATGCGCTGATAAGAGCGAAATCGCTGCGTACAACCACTGGAAATCCAATACGTCAGCATGCATGATCTGTTCCAGCATTTATTTAACCATGTACAATTTCAGCTAACTTACACAGACTCGGGTGTTGCACCAGCAAATGTTCGAAATAAACAAACAAGTCTTGTTAGCGTATACATATTCCATGTACTTTAGGCTAGTTAGGTGCAGCCTATAGAGGGGACAAAACCAATATAGGAACTCTGTCCTGCATGTGAAACCCAATCCATTCTCAGCTTGGCATTGTATCATCGCTGGTTAGGTCCTAGCCACCGTGCTTCCGCCCTATGTAGTCCTCCCTGTGAACATATATTTCTATATGTTATAAGTTAGATAGGTGCATACTCATAGAGGGTACCGCACCATAGCACAAAACCTCCCTGTATGGCACGATCTAGTTTATTGCGTTATTCTAACATGGTATCACACTAGGTTAGGTCCTCCCCTCCCCGCCTACGCTTCCGCCCCTAGCCCTAGCCCTAGCCTTAGACCGCGCCCTAGCTCGCGCCCCGTCACGCCGCGCTAGCCCCGTCCCGCCGCGCCAGCCTCGTCACGCCGCGCCCGCCCCGCTAGACCGCGCCGGCCCCGTCAAGCCGCGCCGGCCCCGTCACTCCGACCCGGCCCCGTCAAGCAGTGCCGGCCCCGTCACGTCGCGCCGGCCCCGCTAGACTGCGCCGGCCCCGTCACGCCACGCCGGCCCCTTCCCGCCGCGCCGGCCCCGTTACGCCGCACCGGTCCCGCTAGACCACGTCGGCCCCGTCACGCCGCGCCGGCTTCGTTACGCCGCGCCAGCTTTGTCACTCCTCGCCGGCCACGTCACGCCGCGCCGTCCCTACCATACCGCGCCGCGCCGATCTGCCGAGCCGCTGCACCACACCGCCGAGCCGCTGCACCGCCGAGCCGTTGAGCCACGCCGCCGAGCCGCTGAGCCGCCGAGCTGCGCCACGCCGGGCCGCTGCGCCGCTGAGTAGCCGAGCCGTCCTGCTGCCGAGCCGCCGAGTAGCCGAGCCGCTGCGTCGCCGAGTTGCAGAGTCGTCGAGACGCCGTGCTGCTGTACCACCCTGACCTGCCGACCTTGGTTCCCCCTTCAGTGCCGGCGCTCCCCCCGGCCGTCTCCACCGCTGCTCTCCACTACCCTCTCCTCCTCCTCCCCTAGCGGCGTTCAGCTGCTACAGTCGTGGCGATGGCGAACGATGTACTCCGCCTGGACACGGTAGGTCGGGCGATCGACTTTGAGGTGTGGCTCGCCGACCTCTGCCGCTCGCTGAGGAAACAGGGCCAGGATGGCCAGTCTCTGGTCGTTCACGTCGACGGTAAGATTCCCTTTCCCGACCTGGCTGCTGCCCTCTCTGACGCCCCCTCGCCCGCTGAGCGTGAGGCCTTTGCAACTGCTGAGCTCGCTTGCTCTGTCCGGGAGTTGCGCGACGAAGTTGCACAGCTTGCTATCAGTCGCGCCCTCCCCCTGTCTGAGCGCCACCGCTACCAGGCCCTAGAGCTGCGCAGGCATACTAAGATGCTGCTATTGCACGCTATTCTACTCCCTCATCCGCCTCTGCCGGTCGTCTCCTCCTCCCCCTGATCTTCCCTGACCTTGCGTCTTTTTCCAGTGTCGCTGATCTCGCCACTCACTTGCGCGCACTAGAGACTAGCTACCGCGCTGCTTGCACTGAGACTTAGCTCCTTGTACTGCCTCCCCCCCCCCCCCCCCCGCCGATACCCTCTACTTCCTTGCCACGCGCCTTTCTGACCGCCTAGCCACTGCCCGCGACCACTTCCTTGCCCTCCACCCTGCTGACCTCACCCTCACTGACTTTGTCACTACCCTGACCACAATAGAGCCCCCCCAGCGCACTATCGCTCAGTCGAGCGGTACTGCAGCGGTCCCTATCTTCCAGGGCTGTGCTCCCTCCCAGTGCGCTTACTCTAACATCCTTGTCGCTGTTACTGAGACGGCCCCTGCTGCTGAGACCGCTCCGGCGGCCTCAACGCATTCTCGTCATGGTAGGGGACGCCGGGCCCGGGGCGGGCGTGGCGGTGGCAGGGGTGACAAGGGTGGCGAGGGTGGCGGAGGTGGCGGAAGTGGTGGAGGGGATGATGGTGCAGGCGAGGGGACCGAGGCTGGTGCTCCGGAGCAGCAGCAGCAGCCATCACAGTAGCAGTAGCAGCAGTCGCCGTGGGGAGCCCCGCCGCAGTGGTGGACTGGCGGTGCTGGTGGTGGTGGGGGGCGTAGCTCGGTGTGTGGTCACCTGCCAGTACCAGCTTCAGTCCGACCCCCGCCACGGAAACGTCTGTGATCGCCCCGGTCACATCGCCGAGCGCTGCTACAGCCGCCTCGACGACCTCTTCCGTCTCGGCTTCGGCCCCACGGCGGACCCCCAAGACTGGTATAGCCTGTTGCGTAGTCGTGTGCCTGTCTTTTAGATGGACATGGATCAGATTAGGTGTGCTTTGTATGCCATGTATGCTGATGACTCTAGTGTGACTGGACCCTAAAAACCAAGTGTTGCCTAGCGTAGGTGTGTTCCCTGTGTGTAGTCTAGGTTCCCCGGCTGCGTCAGACGTAGGACCCCCTGCCTTGTTTAGCCTAGGCTCCACGCTAACCCCTATGCCGGCGGACGCTACTGCTTCGCCCTCCTTCACACTCGACTCTAGAGCATCAGCTTGCTTCTTCCGCGACCACACTGCGCTCACGCCTCTGGCCGTCCCTGCTACTATCGCGCTTGCTGACCCTCCTCACGTCCGGTAGTTGCCCCTAGCTCCACCACCGTTCCTTGTCCGGCGATCCCCTCGGGGTCTCTTACAGGCCTGCACATCCCCTCATTCTCCAGGAACCTAATTGGTTTCGGCTGTCTTCAGGACCTTGGCGTCACCACTACGTTCCCCGGATACGAGCGGTACGCGGTTTGTATCGAGGCCGCCTCTAGTGTTCCTCTGACCACGTTCCCCCGGGACCCTATGTCTGGCCTGTTTACACTTGACACTGCGTCCCCCCCAGTGAGGGCATCCCCTCATGTGCCTACGTCGACCCAGGCCGCTGTGGCTTGCTCGTGTCACTCACCTGTCGCTGTTATGGCACAATCGCTAGGTCACCCCGCACTCCCACATCTGCGTCACATGTCCCATCACGGTCTTGTCTTCGATCTCCCTGCGTCGCTCCCTCCCTTCCTCCCTCACCTGCGCCACGGTGCACACCATGATCCATGCCGGTGCACCCCATTTTCTGTGGCCGTTCGCTGTTCGCAATGCCGCTCACCAGCTTAACCTGTGGCCACACTCCCAGCGGCCGCAGGTTTCGCCGACCCTTTTCTGGACCGGGTTCCCTGGTGAGGTGTCTTTGTTCCACTTTTGGGGTTGCTTTGCTCATGTTCGTGCCTCTGGCACAGACAAGCTCACTACTCGCACTGTCCCCTGTGTCTTTCTTGGCTTCCCCCTCGACACGTCTGACTGGCACTTTTACCATCCGCCGTCTCACCCCTTCTTTCACTCGCGTGACGTCACTTTTGATGAGTCTACCTCCTTCTACCACCGCTTTCCCCAACGAGGTCTCCTGGTTCTTCCATCCTTGTTTCTGGTTCCCACTCCCCCGATAGCCCCTGCTCCTCTCCCTCCCCGTCCTGTCCCATATGGTGTGTCTCACGTCACTCCCCTCCCGTCGGTTGTCCCGGTCGAGGAGTCAGCTAACTCTGGTGGCCCCGCATTACCGTTCTCGCCGCCTGTCTCCGCCCTGGTATCTCCTCCTACGCCGTCACTGCAGCAGCAGCCGTCGCCGCCGTCGCAGCCGTAGCAGCAGCCGCAATCACCGCCGCTGCAGCAACATCCGCCGCAGGGGTCCGCCAGCTCAGGGGGTGCGGGTGTTGAGCCGGGTGCTACTCCTGGGGTTACTGTCGTGGCTTGTCCCGGCGGTCCTGGGGGTGGCACCAGTGCTGGGGAGGTCTCTCGTTCTAGGGGTGCTGGTTCTGGGGGTGCTAGTCCTGGGGTTACTGTAGTGGCTTGTCCTGGCGGTCCTAGGGGTGGCACCTGTGTGAGAGAGGGTTCTCGTTCTGGGGGTGCTGGTGTGAAGAGTCTCACAGGCAGCCGTGGTGCAACTGGAGGTACTCGTATCAGCGTGGAGCAGCAGCAGCAGCAGTCATCGCCGGTGTCCGCCCTTTGCCTCCTTGGTCTTCCCTCCCCTGACCACCCACCTGTGCCTCCCACGCAGGCGCCTCCCCAGCCTGTCTCTGGCCCTGTGTTGCCGCTGCCGGACTCGTCTCCGACTCGTTTCCCCTCTCGTTCTCCTCCCGTGTCTCCTT